GCCCCACGCACTTATCGCAAACAAATCCTCATACTGGAACTTCAGCGTACTAACTTGAAAATTACTTAAAGGCACGCTCCGCGATTAGGCGGGCTCGCCTGTTCCATCCAGGGGGTAGTAGGCAGGTGGACAAGTGTTGATGTCGGGCCCCTTTTGCGGCTTGAAAGTGCGCGACAAAGGCGCAAGGAGCTCGTCCAACCCGCAACTCACACCTTCGTCCGCAAGCCCCACCCTCCGCTGTCGGTTGCCACGTGGCGCTGCTTGAAAAGCGCGGCGCATTTGAGGCAGCGGTCCCATCGCGATCCAATGTTATTGGCACTGGAGCAACTAGAGTTAGGTTCGTGAAACTCGTCCAACGCGCCTCTTCTCTATCCCAAGGTGGAATGTGGCTGAAATAGGGGAGGTCTCTGTACGGGGCGTAATCGATAATTTCGTATTTTCCACACCTATTTTATCACGAATCTTGCCTTTAATTTCGGCCCTTCGCTGGAGTGCACTTTTTTCCGAAAAGCTAAACAAATTCGAGGTCTTGACAGAGGGACCGCGCAATCCAGGTATCGCCATCCTTACATTTATAATGTCACGAACATTTAAGGGAAATTGTCAAGCCATGTGGTACTCCCAGAACTAAAGGATGAATAGCACAGAATTGAAGGCACGGGGTAACAATCTGGGAAGCTGACCAATTTCACACCTATCGGTCTCCTTACACCCCCTGGGCTTCCCTTTTTCTGCCTTACATTACATGTCTTATCGTTAGTGACAAAGCATCGTTTAGTACGTGAAGTGACCACACCGAGCTTGGTGTTGTGAAAGAGTACAATAACCTTAGGTTGGTTTGGTAGAGCCGATTAGTTTCTAGTCATATTTACTGTTTGATTCTGTCCTTACCATCCTACATTTTGCAAAACTACAAAAGGACAAACCGATACCTCAAAATTAGCGTTTCTTCAAATCAAAGACATCCTGCACCAAAACCGCATGATTGATCAATCGGTGGCTTGATCCCCTTCGTTTGCATAAAGAATATTAGAAGAGTCTGTCACTAGAATGGCTCAGAATCTGTTAGAATGAGAGCGGGAAACAATTCGGTCGCTCAGCATGCGTGCAAGAGCCGGCGGGGAAGAAACGAAACGCAAAACGCATCCCAAATAATCTTCAGAGGTGAGCCATGTGCAAAACTTCCAGTGTTTGACTGCTCAGAGAACCCGCCGTGTTCTTGATGCACAACTATACGGAACCCACACGTTGTTTCCAATGGTTCATCCTTGCAGATTTATCGCTTCAAGATGTTGCGGAGTGAACGTAAAGCTCTGACCAGAGCAAGTTGTACCTACCGCGTGTGAATGAAGCTATGGAGGATTCACAACTGGCACCTGGTGCCACTTCATCACGTACATGTTCAACTGCAGATTGCCATCGGTGTTTTAGCACATAAACTGTTATACATACAATTTGTTCATCAGAACTAGAACAATATCGTATAACTTCACATATTGTAAATAAATTTATATCTATATTCCATAACACACAACAACGGGATATCGATTATCACAGGAATGTTGTCACAAACATCGTATGATTTCGGCACGCAATAAGTCGTTTCTCGAGGATTCGGTTCTCCTAAAAACAGAGAACAATTACCCACCACTTCAACGAATTCAGCCGACGACGGTGCGACCCGCTACTAGCCGTCAAAGCTCACCAACCACCACAAAACTTTTAGCGCCCTACCGTACGATTTTTTTCACAAGCTCGCAGCTCACACCGTCTAAATAGAGAATTGCTCAGTGCGAAAACAGCAATGAGGCAGGCGAGCACCTCACGCTCTGCCTTATCGATGGTCTCACATAGTTATCAATGAATTTTAACAAACTATCCAGTGATGTGTTGCCTCTTACCTGCCTCAGGGTGTCTACCAGTGTCGCCTGACTAATGCCCGTCGTCTTGGTGTCGTGACAAATGGCCCTGAAGTGACTTATAGCTTTGAAGATATCTCTTCGGTTTCGTGTTCCTGAATCCTACCTGGCGTCATCAATCTGCCCTATGACAGCTTTCGCTTCTTGGAGCTCCTTTTTTAGCCGCCTTTGTTGCTCACGGAGGGTATCTGCCTCTCGGCCTAGGCCAAGCCTCTGAACATATCGTTTTCAAGCCAATCTTTATTGTCAGGTTAATGAGAAAACAAATGATGGGACATGGACATACCTTGTCGACGGCTTTTCGCTGATCAAATCGAGAATCTTTACACAGATCTGAAAGGTAAAGCCTTAGAGACCAGTAGCATTTCAGCAGTCATGCAAACTCTGCTCATGGTCAGAGACAGTGGGACTAACTGTAACTTACAGTATGCCGAGTGGTAGTCGCCAGCAGCGGACTCGTAGCCGGAGGAAGCCGAGTAGCTTTGACGTTTCTTTTCGCGACACTGCGACGCCGCATCGTCGGAACCACGGCCGCTGCTTGGTGGACCGTCAACCAGCCGCGGATCTGTGACCTAAAGCAATGAACTGAGTAATTTGGAACTATTCACCGAACGTATTTCTCCAACCAAGGAAGAAATTCCGTCTGAACACCCTATTTTTATAATTTGAAAGCTGTAATAAAGCCGAAAATGTAAGACCTTATATACGCAAGGGTGGTTCAATTTCAAAGCTTCTACCGATTGTCGTAGATACGACTGTCGTCCCTTACGCTAAACGTCCTTACAAGGTTGAAAACCTCAAAACTCCTCCAGTCCTTCCCCGTTGAACACCCTCATCTCCCATCTTGGCTAATCCAGAGCTTAATTCCAGTTGGGCCAATAATGTAATGGCTCGTGAAAATTTGATTACGCCTGGACGTCATTCCGCAAGAGTCGATTAGTCCAGAAGAACCGAATCAAACTGCGCAACCACCTGATGGTCGTGCGGGAAAAGCCAATTGTTGACAAAGATTTCCTACCAGGTACTATGGCTTCCGAATGAATAAGTGCATCCACGGAAAGCACTTATTCATTCACAGGAAGGCTTTTGATTCGAAATTTTTGAGAGCTCAGCTTTGGACGCCGATGCTACTACTGAATACGCTACTGAATGTCCTTCAACTAATATCTTTCCCATAATTTTCTCGCTACTTTCTATTATCGCCGCAACATTACCGCTAGCACCATAAAAACCAAATTCAACTAATGTATACATATTATAGGAGCATTTCTCCTCAGAACGCCTTTTTGAAAGCTCGACTGAAAGCTCGAGAAAATCGATATATTGATTTCCCGTGGTAGAAAAAATTTGTACCTTGGAGTATGGAGATGGGATCGCAGTCTTCTCTCTCCTACCTTCCTCAGACACCTTACGTTCACGCCGATCCGTACGAGGCTTACTGGAAAAAAAAATTGTCGAATTCAATGTAAAACTAGGCCAAGCGATTGTTTCATTGCGTGAAATAAGATTTTCTCAGTCCGAATGTGACGTCTCTCTGGGTTAATCGCAGTAAAAAGATAAATAAACACTGGTAAGAGAGTTAAAAGGGTTCAAAGGCACATTTCAACATGATAGTACGGGGAGAATCATTTAAACAGCGGGTTTTTTTCACTGGTATGCTCTTTCTCACCATCATTGAGAAAGGATTGGATGACAAACAGACAAATACAAAGGAAGCACTGTCGAGTTGCTCCGCCCACATGCTCAGGGTGAAACATGCTCTTATGTTTGATGAAGCAACAATAAAGTTACCTGCATCGCCTGAACGTGTGTCCCATCGACCCAGTGCGCCTTGATAATTCCATTTTTAGCATGATGAGACGGTGACGGCAATGACGGTGCAGCGCAGTTTGTCAACGACGGGGTTCTGAAAACGAAATCCTATGATTTTGTGATGGAACGAGTAGAAAAACATGAACAAAATCTCAGCATGATGTTATTGACCTCGCAGGTGGTGCACCGAGTTGTTTCTTATGAATGGTGGGCGTGGTAGGCAGTGAATCCGATGGCGCACGGCTGGTCTTTTGACTGAAACAATTAACAACATCTTATTTGGCCTTATTAGCGGCCAAATGAGGCTAAACACCTCGGCTTTGATCCCAATGTTAATCCATGCAGCTGTTGAGTGATCTGACGAGCAATCGCCAGCGGCAGTGAACGGCATCTTGGAGTTTCGCTGAAGGTGTCAACAACATTGAGCGTTCAATGCACCGCACAAAAAAATAGATGCGAACCTTGTCGATCTGTTCTTTCTCCCTTCGTATCTCATCCGCTTCATGTTTCAGCTCTTCTCGCCTCTCTTCGCTACTTCATCTCTTACTGCTTTTCTAGTTCTTCTCCCTTACTCGGCAATGCCTATAAGGAAACACCAATTGGGAGCTTCGTCCAGGTCTTGTTACCACGCAGAACTCGAATCAAAACAGAAAAGCAGAAAGACTAGTAATTTTATATCAAATGGTCGAAGCGGTGAAAATCTATTGAAATAGGGGCTCAAAACCCCCGCGATTTGAGAAAAACTATGCAAAAAACTGTGAAAAAAATCCTCTAAGAAACTCGTCAGCAATAGACCCCAGCACCCGAAACAGTGGCATACTAACAAATTTCTTACCTCCGGCTTTCGATGGCGTTCCAGTCGACTACCGTACTCCCCGACGACATCATCGAATTTTGGCAACAGTTCAAGATCAGCTTACTTCGTTTCTTCTTCATCTTGTCGTCGTCCAATTCCTATAAAAACAAATAGTGAACCAACCAAAAAGATGTTATCAGAAAACTATACTAGTACAACATATCCACATGCAGTGGCCCTTGAGGACACAAAGACAAGATGAAAGGCCGTTGGTTGTATAACTTTTAGAACAGACTCGAAATTACTCTCAAAAATCTAGCTATGGATTCTCACAATGTGTGAGGGCAGAGCAGCTGGCAGTAACTGGTGCTGCATTCTCAACACCTGCCCGCTTGATGCTTGACGGCGGACTGTTTTGCGAATGAGAAATGTTAAACAACGTTCATCATTGATTAGGTGGAAGAGGTAGAGAAATCAGCTCGTGGCCTCATGCGTTTGACAGATCCGTGAAATGCTTTTTCTGATTGATAGCTTGTCGGCCGCAAAACACAATCCATCATAGCAACGAATCTCTCAAATTTTTGCTTCACGTGCGCATCCTGCAGACTTGAATGTGCTATCCAAAAACATGAATTACAAGAAGGATGAGATATTTAGCTATATGTCTTAGTGCGCAGTTTTCATCATATCTCGAAGAAATCCGAGTATTTTTTTGTGGATAGGGATTTTGTGGCTCACACCACGGTGCACCTTCAGTCAATTATAAAATAAGCAAGTAAGGGAAACCATTAAATATGTGATTAGTAGGATCCAGTAAGATTAATCGATCCAGTGAGATAAATTCCAGTAAGATTAATCAAATTCAATCAGAGCAAATGAGCATACCTTAAGTTTCTCTACTGCGTAATTCTCGAGATGACTGGCACGGCGATACAAGTCCATCTCACTTGGTGTTGCCGTTGAGGTAGCTGTAGCCGTCAGCGATGCTTCCTTCTAAAACGAATCAATCGATTATCGATCGGAACTGACTGTGAAAAATTCATGAAAATTACGAGACATGACCTGATCAGTACTGAGTCTACGTTAAGAATTTGTGATATCGACGGTATCATTCATTTTTCTGAGAAAACTTCTTACTTTTGAGGGTGACTTAGTTTGGACGTGAGTGACACAACTGTGTGCCGCGATAGTCCGAACTCTACAACAGTCCGTCCGTGTAACAAAACCCTCGGAATTGTAAATGAATTTGTCAGATAGTGTTCTCTATGCCACATATATAAATTTCCAAGCCTTGCGATTATTTTCTGCTCCAGAATCAAGAAATATTCTTCATGGCAGACACATAAAGAAATTGGAAGCAGCGACAACAGGCATTGCTATTCCACATTTCTCTCAACAAAATGACCGTTCTTACGGGGCTGAGGCTTTTGAGCCGATCTGTGCCAAAGCCTACTTTCAACAAGATTTAGGCGAAGGTAGCACTAGACAAAAGTTTCCTCACCATCATTGTCACCGATGTTTTTGAAAAAACCCATATGAGGAAATTCGTCTCCTCATACAGGAGCCAATGACAACTGTAGATCAAGTCCGCATCGATCCTTGCTTGATGGGAATGCAATGACTGCGGAAGCTCTAAGAAGTGATTTCTTCCAACCAGCAGCATCTTGAAGCAGTAATACGGAAAGTGCAAGTTCCCTACACATGGTTTCTTCGTCCTTCTCTAACCAGCACTGTCACGTTTTCTCCCCACAGGTACATAAACTGACAACATGCTCCCGCTGCTGTGTGCGCTAAATACTGACGTAGGAGGGGGAGAGGTTGAAGTAAAAGAGACACTGTACCTCCATTTTTTGGAAGTAGTAATTATACTTTGCTAGATTGAACTGAATGCACCCAACAGCGTCATGAAGAGCACATACCATTCTATAAGAAAACTTAGTGACAGCCTTCTATCCAGGCGGCAAAGCATTTCCCCTGGAAAGCTGGTATCAGTCCAGAGCTCAACGCTCTGGAATCCACGAAGTTATACGATTAAGTTTACATGGCAGTTTCAAGCTAAAGCCATTACTGTAGGTCCCCTCAACCTCGACAGCGCTGACATATAACGTCATACTCAAAATTCGGTGATGACAGTGAAGGAGGGCCTGCTCCTGCTAATGGAGCATCTAAGGATCCATCTAAGGAAAATCAAACCGTAAAGCACCCATCAACAATGGCACCATGTGCGATGAGATCTTTGTTGATGTGCGCCATGGGCCAAGTGACTTTTTTGTGCGCTCTCTACCCCCGCTGCTTCCCAAAAACCTGTATAATAGCTTTTCCGATGATGACTGCTTAACCTTCAGCCATTCCTACTTCTTCTCAGGAAAAGGAACATTGTCAGAATATGTCACTGTCGACATGAATGGTAATCAATCGCGTGAAAGCAACGACGTAGAGGTTCGGTAGTCAAAGGAAGTGGCTCGGGTCCAAGAAATGCTTGAATTTTGTGGGAGCATTCTGTATGTAGACTGTGAGGTCTTGAGCAGATTTTTCTGCGAAACAACATCCGCAAAAAGTTCACGATGATCTTCCGGAGCAAGCATGTAACCGAAATCTTGGAGAAATGGATAAATCTTATGAATTACACTTTGCTTCGAAATTTCTTTAATCTCGCTCCCTATTCACGTTAATCAGCTCACACATGTAGACACTCGTCACGTCTACCTGCGTTGCTTATTAGTTCATTACCTATTCAGGAGATCATGTTGCGATCTGTTTGGAGATTGTTTATTCAAATGGGGATCGAATACTCAGCCAATGCCGACCTAAGGCTAATCAACCGTGGCCTTATTCCAACGAAATGAGAGGCTTGAAACTGAAGAAGGCTAATCAAACATATGAGGCGTGGCCGTCCTTTCGGATACTCCACCCTTTTTGAGGAGTTGAGTAGTACCTAGACAAAAAACAATTTAAAATTCCTGGAGGTGGAGGAAGCGAGTTGTTGCAATTCTGTCCTCTAACGTGGCCTTCTGAAATGAACGCAGCGCAGTATTTATATTTATATTTATTTATGTATTTGTGCCTTTGAATGAAAACAAACTGGCAAGAAATGTTCTCCCTCAGTGCTGCAGAAATCGCAAAAGTCTATTTCAACACAACGATTATTGTCGTGGCTCATTTTAATGCCCATTTTACTGTCTTGAAAACACTCACGGCGGCTAAGTCGTCGTTGAGCTTTGCAAGAATATCATGTGATCGTATCGATGACAACCGATGCGGCCATAGCTCGTTCCAGCGCGTCCTCGTCGGAGCCAACTTCCTAAATTTCTTTTTGTAAAACTTTCTTTTATGAAACACTAATTGCTCGCTTGGCTTCAATGGAAAATAGGAGAAAATTTCTGCCGGTTTCCCGCTCCGGCAGCTCTACATGAAACGAAATTATTGCTGTTGAAGCTTTTATATACCACCACTGGTTCTGGAGGAAAGAACTCAAGACACTTTCAATTTTAAATGGTCATTAATTATATAGCGGCACGTGATGATCATGCTATTTGCGGCGCTGCATTTATCTGAAGCTATGGTTCAGTTTTTTCTGTAATAACTCATTCTTGATGACAATAGTTTTCCACTTATTTAGGCTCGCACATTGTGAAGTGCAATCTGTGAACATGGCGCGATAGACTCCTAGACTAAGATTATATGTACAGTAGGCTGTCGCAAAAGCATTGTCAGTGGGACAAAATACTCCGAATTTTGAAACAAAAACTTCTTCCTTTTGTTGATGGGCAAAATTTTTGGCTGCGTATTGATGTGCCCACGAAATTCATTCAGTATGACCTTGTAAAAGGTTGCTGCTTCATGAGCTGTTGTAGTGGACCCATAGAGTCCAATCGCGTCAAGCGTTGCCCCGCTATCCCGGATTTGTCCACCTGAAGTAGTTGCTTTTACTGCAAGTCGATCCAGTGACTATCTGCATGATCCAGCGTTTGCCTTGCCAGGTTCACAGCACAAGTGTTCGGCCGAAAATTTGGCAGAATTTTTCCGATCAAACAAGAAGTCTGCGTTTCCGAAACCATCTGTATAGAATCTTATGGACCCCCTATACTCGACTAGCGTATTGACTCTTGTACATAAAAAGTGACATGAGCTGTCGATACAGAATTGATATGGGCATGTTACTAGTGACAAAAAATTTTGCGATCTTTGGATTGTTATAGATATATCGATTTCTTGCATATCTCCTTCGAATGTGAGGGAGCACTACTGCCCTCATCTAACCTGGGAATCTACGCGTGGAAAGAAAGATACAAAGGACGCATAACAAAGTAGCTGCCAAGAACTCCAGCTCTTTACCATATTCTTCGCACTACTAATTTGCCTTTTTTCACCTTCAAAGTCATATTCTTCCACAAAAGACCTTCAGACCAAACTGAAGGCTGAGAATATGCTTCTGTGGCGAATACGCTGAATAATCTTACTTGTGGAGTTCCTTCTGTGCTCATGATCTTCTCAATATCTTCTCTGCTCAAAATGCTCAATGGATGTGAATCCGTGTCGTGTTTCGATCTGGAAAAGAAAGCATAAATAAGTTAAGGTTCCCGTCACGGAGTGAGCAAAACAACTGAAGTACGGTAGTCCATAATTATTGTGATTTTGATTTTGAATCACGGGTTATCACAGTGAAGTCTGATTCACAAGGAAAGCATGGTGTGGGTGATGGCGCAAGCTCTGTCGTGGACTGACAAGTTCTTAGAAAGGGGTTACACACCTTGCTTCTCTTCCGGCAGATATGGGTCCACTGAAGGTATATCTCGTGAAGGTGGGGTTACAAATTCCTTAAAATGCAAGTTTTTGAATTACTAACAGGTAAGGTAGCGAATATTCCATGTCTGGCTGAGAGGTTGGTCTTGATTTTTATGTTCTCACATTTCTTTAACGCTTGGGGTGCATCCGCGTCACAAACACCTATCATACTTCTCGAAGTCCCTCATAGACTCCTCGTCCTGCTCGATAATGTCCTCCAGTGGATGCGATAGAATCTCCCGTGGTCGATCACTGTTCATTTCATCATCATCGGGTGACAGTAACGGTTCGCACGTGTCCACCCATTGCATGATCGCTTGTCGCTTGTCATATCCAGGTTATACGCTGAAAATTTTCAAATTCTGAAGTGAGCTAAAGGTGTTTCGCCATGTACAACGGCCTTCCTTTTCCTCTTTGGCTGGTAATTTTCAGTAATAATGTCTGATTTGATAAGAGCACTCAATCGTAAACAGTATTGCCTCCGAAAATTACTGATGTACTCAAAAGACGTTCAAATTCCCTTACGATGCTCCATGGGACTGATCTATATGATGCGTGGCCATTCCGAATAGGTTAAATTACCACTGAACTCTTTATGTCTTCATGTTCTTTCTTCTACACGATACCTCAGAAATGTCAAAAAATAACTACGTCAGCCAGGCAACTTGAGTGAGCGATAAGGTGGAAAAACCTCAACGAGCACGTGCTGAAGTAACATAAAGAAAAAAAAAAAAAAAAAAAACATGACATAACCTAGGACACACTGTCATAAATTTAAAATTTAAAACCTAGTGATTTTGACAGATCTCCACTTCTCTGTTCATTTCGAAAAGCATTATAAGCTCAATAACAATTCTCAAACCAGAACTCAATTAATCTGGATCAAAGGGACCACATTTCACGAAAGTCGTCAGTCCATAGGCTTCGCAGAACAAAATGAGCTGAATCAGTGTTGTAAATCTTAAGAATTAGTCAACGTGGAAATAAATCCAAGCTAATCGCCAGCCCTCTTCACATTAAAATTTTGCGTCATCGTATTATGGACAAATTCAAGGATAGGAGTGCGAAACTGCTAAGTTCAGGTTCTACAGCAACCCAACGAAGAAGTTCTCCGCCGGAGGTAATCCGGTAAGTTGTCTTCAAAGCGCAACGAAGAAAAGCTGTACCTGATACCCCAAAGATAGCGCTGAAGGTCCTAACTCTCCTTCCTTCGGGAGTTATCCTCCCCGTCCTGCATCCACAATGCTGCCTGCCTTGCGCATAACTGCTTCTAGGTGATCAAGAGCATGGCGCACTCCCAAACGACAATCATAGCGGCAGTTTGATATGAGGCATTGATCAGTTCATTGACCCGCAAAGATAACAAGGGGAAGTCGATGGATCACTGAATCCCCCGAACGATTCATGTCAATGGGAAATCACCGTGGAATGGCTTTGATTCATTACTCCCATCGCAGACTAAAATTTATTGGATTTTACGCCGAACGTTCGACACGGTTGCAGACACAAGGCTGTAAATTCCGCCCGTAAATTTTTACGAACCTCTGAGGACCGTAGTTGGCAGAAAATGGACTTACCGCCGTACGTACAGCTCAAACCCCGCGACTATTTCAAATATTAGAGATTAATTTTCTCTCATTAGAAGCAGTTCAAAGCAACTTGAGGCGCCTCGAACGTCACTTCTCCCGCAGATGCCATTACTACCTTATGAAGTTGAACCTTCCGGACAGCTTACTTGTTTCTCGCTTTACAAGTGATTGATGTGGGCCAGTATCACACAAAACATTATCAACAACACCACAGGTTGACGAGTTCAAGCTCTCGCCGAAAGTCGCACGGAATTCATCGATGAAGAGCTTTTTTGAAGCCACGCATTCCACATCAAAATAAAATCGTAGCGACGTTTGAATGCATCTTTAGCTATACAATAAAGACCAGAGGTCAATTCATGTGCACTTCATCCACTAATTCGAATCTGTTACCATTTATTCAGTTTCGAATGGATGGATCTCCGGCATGGATGGGATTACACGTTGTGGATTCATCCATGATCCATATATGAGTGGTACCAGCGGTATCCCATTCACCTGTTCCACCCCTGACATGATACCGTAAGCCAACCCGCCAGGTACCAACGGGTGATTGAATTAGGGATTTCTTGCATTGGACTTCGCTAGACCTACATAATAATCGAATGCCAAAAGACAATACTTTAACACCTTGCACTGAGCCCTATATTTGGACTCAGTACCGTCGATCGCAACAGGACCGTTCACCGCCCCTTTTAGGAAACAAATGCTTAATTTCGTCTTTGCACCCTTCTATTTCGTTCGAGAAAGTTCCACCTGCATCACAACAGCATTTTTCCGCTTTCAAATTTTTTGATAACCGCAAAATCTGCTTGATAAGATTCCTCAAAATTTCACTGAAGCCGCGCGCGGCCGCAAAACTTAAAAAAATGAGCGGTCAACAACGTGCCAAAAGTGCAGAAAACAATGCAACACTCCGGAATGACTATTGTAAGGACTCAAAAATTGTTAAGGCGTCGTGAAGGCGTTTTTGTGAAAAGAACTGTTCATAACGAAGCTTGTCAAAACTGTGTAAAAGTCTTGTGCCACACTTTTTTGGAGTTTTTGCATACGGTTTTTTTTTACAAAAATTACAAAAAGATTCAGCAAAAAAATACGTAATTAAGACTAATTAGCAGAAATTTAATATAATTATCAAAATTATTCATAATAGTCAATATAAGCTACAACAAAAAAACATATGAGACTCCAAAAAATATTGCGAAGATTTTTACAACAGTTTTGACAACTTTTTACGAACAAATTGCCAAATCTTTTCACAAATCATTTATTTTAGCATGAGACTCCGGGACAGAAGAATATTCAGGTTCGCATAATTGCTATTAGGACTCAATCATATAATATTGTTAAATATCAGAGTGGTAGCCTGATGAGTTCATGAAGATCAGAGTGTTGAACTACTACTGTTAGGCCAGTTGACGAACTCACCAATAACGCTGTAGAGCATTACGCACTTCCCGGAACATGTCAGAAAGCCGTGGGTGCGAAACACCCAGACAGGTGGTTGTGGGAAGCCGTGGTGCCATAAATTTGGCTCATCACACATAAAAACATGGGAATAACAAAAGACGAACAACTAAGAAGGTGCAAAGAAGCGTCGTTCGGCTCGAGCGCTCTGACAGTTGCCGTGGAAAAAAGTGATGGAGTTGGCCAAACACTCTCAACACTCTTGTCGCTGAGAAACAATATGAGGGTAACTAGGAGTTTTACTAGCACAAGAAAAAGGACAGATTCAGAAAGTTGCAATTTGATACCGGAAGTTCTATATCTAGCGGAATGACACTAATCCGTCAGAGACTACATATTTGTCGATCCAGGGTCTCGAGAGTCAAATTCGAGTTTTCAAGTTTTCCTAAATATTTCGGAGAACGGCTGCATGATATTACTATCCAAATTCTCTTACTGAGAATAAGATAATGTAGGCAGTCCGTCTGAATCAAAAATGCTGAGACGTCTGTGCAATCCTAGCTTCAAAAAAACCTCATTAATTCGTCACAATCCAGAGCTCAACCGTAACGCCTGACGCTCATATTTCTTAGGAATGCGCTATGCTCTCGTTTTATTTTCGACTCATAGAAGTGATTGATTGATTATCTGTTTGATGCCTTCAGACGTCATCAGCAATTCACCAATGCCTAGTTGCTCTGTGTTACTAGTCGAGATGCTGCCGTTATCGTTCCTCTTCCAGACGTTAAAGAAGACCTAGCTCTTGGAGAAGTACAAATAGGCAAGCTGCGCGGTTCTGTACTTCCCAAAATTTTCCATGTAAAGCTCAGGGTTCACGGACTACTTGAACTTTTCTCAATGGTCCTACCGTGAATGGCTAGAGCACAGACGATTAGAGAATGCGGAGTTGATGATTGGCTCGGCTCCAAATCCGATGGAGGAAGGTGAGAGCACTAAGATAAGACTAAGCCCTGGAGGAGGTAGTGACTCCGAGGTGGTGAGCCGATTACAATATGACAAAAGTTTCAATGTGTCAATTACAGTATGACAAAATATCACAGAAGTGGTAAACCGCTGTTCAAGCGATAGAGCGCAGGTGAGAGCATCAAATTGAGGCGGTTTGAAGAACGGTCTTCGAGTAGTCCTAGACCAAGCTCTTGGATGCCGTACCCTCAGATTGGTCGGAGCGTGGGAATGCGAAAAGTTCGCCCGGTCACAGTCCTATGCCTTAAGATTTAGAAACACTGCTAGCTGAATTCTTTTATGATTCTAACGCTGTGTTAAAGAAGGGGTCAGTTATAGCGTTTCACAGGGCTGGGCGTAACCTCGAGAAATTTAGAGTATAAATATTAACCAACATTGACATGAAAACTACCTCTTAGATCTCTTTGGGCTCGCAATGGTGACACCGAAGTCGTTGCGATTCTAAAAAGCCAGCATAAGCTAACAATTCTCACATCGCTGGGAAAACCTGCAACTGCTAACCTGGCTACAGAAACCTCCAAACACAGCAAGATCGTGCGTCGTTGTCGATCCATCGCCAGATGTTCCAGGAGGCGAACACAAGTCGTCGTAGAGGCGCAATGAGGGTGACAGAAACGGTGTATGGCCCTTTAATTATGATAATTTTCAAAGAGAGGATTTCTCATTGTCTGGAAATCGAGGTGTTAACCCACATTTTTTCAAAAAAAATTATCCACAGAAACTTATAATCCTACCATATATAATTCGCTAAGTATGTCTGTGTGTGTGTGTGTTTGTCACGAAATTCGTAGCTCGGGTCACAGCAACGATAGCGCCATGGTTCTTACATATGTTATAGGGGGTGGGATGGGGACTCAAGTGGTACGTGATAGGAACTGATAACGACTGATAATAGCTGATAAGAGGGGCTAGAAAGCGAGCATCGCCAATTTGTTTTGCGTTTATATTATAACCAGATTAGTCCCCCGTCAACCGCCGGGACCTTCCTTTCCTGCGCAAGCTTTCTATCCTCCGCTATGGTCCCTTCCTCCTGTGACACCAACACCTCCTGGAAGTGACGCGTATGCAACACAATGGTGTTTCATACAGTAGAAGGGACACAATCATGATATGACGGTAGATTTTTCGCTTCCCTTCCTCATCCTCCCTTCCTCTCTCCACTGCCCTCCAGCTGCCACTGCAGCACCATGTGGAATGAACGGAAGTGTGCTAAGCAGGTGTTTATATAGCCCTAAGAGTGTTATCACAACTATCCTGCTACAAAAACATTGATATCTCAAATCCTGTAAGCTACCCGATTTGTTAGCGGTTTGTTTATCCCATGAGCTTCCTTCTCACTCACTTCATTTTGCGGACGGACACACAGACATACATACATACATACACACGCACACACATACAGACATACAAACCGACACACAAAGTTAGCGCTTTATAAAATAGAAGGATTAGCGTCTATACTTACAAGTGTTATGTAGGGTGGTCCCGGGACAATGGTGGTACATGAATGGAAGCGATAGCAACTGATAAGGGCTGATAAGGGGCGTCAGAACGCAAAAGTCGTCGATTCCGTTACCCAGCTTGCGTTGACACTAGAGCGTCCATACTCGCAGGTGTCATGTGGGGTGGGACGGGGACATTGTTGGTAGGTGATGGAAAGTGGTTACAACTGATAAGGGCTGATAAGGGGCGTCAGAATGCAAAAGTCGTCGATTCCGTTACGTAGCTTGCGCTGACACTAGAGCGTCCCTACTTACAAATTCTATTTGTAGTGGTACGTGCACACTGTATCATTGTATGACCAGCCTACTTAATAGCAGTCTATTGCATAAACTCAATCAAGTCTTCAGCAAATGATAACTTTCATTTCTATCAAGAAAGCCCAAACTCATTAAACCGCTAATCCTTTCGGGTTTCTAATCAATGGTGATGGAATAAATGATAAGGCTAGGCTCCTCACTTGTAAAGCAATCATTATTTTATCTTGATACTGACACGCAATCTAGTATCCCGGACTAATTATCTGAGTTCAAAACAATGCTTCTTTTTAAAAGAAAGAAATTGCCGTCCACAAATGAACTGTAGATATTATTCCCACCACCGGCAGAAACCAGAAAGAGTGCGTTTTTTCCTATCTTACGATATACTGACTTTTGAAGTCCGAAATTAGGATCAAAGACCAGGAACAACGCGGTACAGAAATTAGAAGTTGGAATGGGTGCTACGCCAGACGTAATTTTCTACCAGCTTTTGGAGGGGTGTGTGAAGTCTAAAAAGAGCCTGCTCAAAGCCATTAATTGCTTCACTTATTCCACTGTGCTCAGAACTATGACGTTGGGAGATCGGAACGATCAACATGGAATCACGAGAAGGTCACAGGCAAATTATTGCGAGAGAACATTCTCGCGGGAGATCAAGAGAACCAGAGGTACGCCTCAAAAGACAGGTGGAACCTCTTGGAAGGTCCTCCTCTTGCTTCCGCACTTCGGGAATGGGCCGCAGAAGACCCCTTCGTCAAAACCTCCCGTCTTCCCGACACCAGCTGCAGCAGCCCACATTCGTCTCTACTTGAGGATCCCACGGCTCCTCGTCTGCTCGTCGACCGTTCTGCACTCTTCTATCCACTCTATACCTTCCATTTTGTCTTTGTAATAATTTCTATTGTCTTCTCAGCGTTCTTCAGATACAAGGGGAGATCTTCGAGCCTCATACTCTACAAGATACCAAAAACTGATATGGAGAGCCTCGATGGAAGTTTTTGTGTTGCTTCTCCAGATCATTAGAGAAAATTTTCTCATTACCGTTTCTAATTTTTGCAGTACAGATTCCACCAACACTTTCATTTTTAGGAAATCTGAATAATAAGAATAATAAATGAACTAAATATGTAATACATAAGCATAAATAGAGATAGCTGTACCTTCAGCATTGGTGGTATTGAGCCTGTGCAGGTGCGCGTGGAACTTCCCGATGTTTGGGTGAGCTGAAATCAAATCAGTATAAACTGAACTAAGGAAGATAATATCGCATATGAGCAGTCACTTGCGTATGTCATCGTTTCAAAGTTATTTGGCTCTGTCAAACGAGCTTAGCCCTGACACCCTTCACGACCATAAATGGGCTTCACAACTATGAGCTATCACCAGAAGAGGAACTTCGTGTTGTCAGCAGTCACAGTCGCCGGTAATGATTGTGACCTCTGATTAGAGTTTTGCATCATGAAGTGTACATTTACGCCATTTGAGTAACC